TCCATTGCTAACAAGCCCTTTTCCCCCAGGATTGAGGTGTTATTATTCCGTACCCTGTAAATTCACTGCCATATCCCACCCTTCAAACCGAAACACAGCCATGAAAACACAACCGCTTCACGATAGAAACATAAATGGGACAAAGTTACCCAAGCAAATGACTTTTCTTTTTTATAAATATTAGATTACAAAAAAATTTCGCAAAACAATAAAAGCGTAAATAACTTCAAATAGGTGACAAAACATTTTACCATAGACAAAAAATCTCACGGGACTAAACAAAAGATGCATAGATAATAAACTGTTTTGTAATATAACCTTATTTTTATCTGTGAATCGGTTGAATTAATATTTAGTTGGTCAGTGTGCGATAATTAGTCAATCCACGCCGCCACTACAATGGTGTTTATGGTGTCAAACCATGGAATTGTTTCTGAAATGGATCATATACATCTAGATAGAGCGTGGAGTGTAAAAATGTTCCAAAAACGTATACACAATTTTTGTTTAGTACAGTAAAATACTTGTGTTAGCGTTGAAGTTATTATATAATAGTATAAGCGATAATTTACCAGAGGGAGACTTTGTACAAAAGTCGATTACTGTTTCGCCCATGATACCCATACGTTACCATTCCTGAGGACTCAGATGTTATTCCTCTGTACCCTGTAAATTCACGCCATATCCCACCCTTATTGTTATTAAGCATTACATCAAGAGATATAAGAATGGTATGGAGAAATTCAAATCATTCTTTTCTTTTTTCAAATACACTATATGGCTTCTTTGCAGCCATTTCCAGCAGTTTTTTGGGGATACTCTTTCTATATTTTATTGATCAATGTTTCTAATTTAGAACCTCATCTTTATTCGTGGGCTCTATAATTATGTATTTCAATTATATGTAGTCATGATAATGCAAAATTGGAGTTGTGTCTATCATGCATTTACACGTCACGTGAGCAATTGTTTGACCTTACAGCCCAAACAATCCTCTTTCGCTTCCTCCACATTCATCAATCTTTTCATACACGCTCGCCGGTTACGGGTACTTTCAATTTGGCCCTTCTTCAGCACGTCGCCTATTCGGTCGACATACGTCCGTCTAGGGCGGCCCCTACCGACATCTCCATTTATTCTTACTCGATAAATCTCTTTCTTAATTCTTCTTCCATCCATCCTCTCCAAATGGCCAAAACAACACAACATTCCCTTTTTAATTTTTAGTCAGTTTAGGTGTCCTATGTGGTCCCCTCTGGAACCCATCGTGCTAAATTCCGGGTGTATATCGTCACGATGGTCTAACTGGCCTGCCTTTTCATCCTCACCTATCTTCCCTTACTGGTGCCCCACCAGTGTATACCGCTAGCACAGGCGGGGCTACCATTCCTTTGTCATCTATTTAAAAAAAAAAAAAAAAACGCTTTTTATAATATTAATACAGATAAAGATATGAATTTACAAGAAAAAGAGACAAAACGAAAAAGATAAGAAACAAAATTTGTTATTCTTTCATGGGAACCATAATGTGAGCAATTGTTTGACCTTAATACCCATGGGGGTCATTTGACGATGCGACCTCTAAGTTACGAGTAAAACTTAATTAATTTTTTTTTTATGCAACTTAGAATGGCAAACAAGCTGACGGCCCACCTGATGGAAAGTGGCAACCGTCGCCTATAGACATGAGCAGCACCATGGACATAACAGAGTATACTGTTTCGCCCATGATACCCCCCATGCGTTGCCATTCCTGAGGACTCAGGTGTTATTCCTGTGTACCCAGTAAATTCACGCCATATCCCACCCTTCAAACCGAAACACAGGCATGCAAACACAACAAGAGGTACCCAAGCAATCGACTTTTGTACAAAGTCTCCCTCTGGCCCCTCTTCTATTTACTGATTTCAGTTTGTATGGATTTAAAACTAGTTTAAGTTAGACTAGAATATTATTTTATCAAACCACTTTATAAAAAAGGCAGTTTCCAATTCGGTCGTATTTTTTGTTTATGTTTGTCACCTCATAACTCCGTCAGTTGTGGACCGATTTGGAAAATTCTTTTTTTATTTGAAAGGATACACTTACACATTGGTCCCGTGGCAATTTTATCAAAATCAGTTTAGTAAAACTATTGAAAAATTAAACTACAACAGTTTTTATTTCAAAATAATTAGGTTTGTCACGAGTGAAGTAAATTTTTTGACAGATAGATAGATAGATAATTTATTTGCATTACTTACAGCGCACAAACAACAATAGACGAGAGGGAGACTTTGTACAAAAGTCGATTGCTTGGGCACCTCTGTCCCATTCGTGTTTCTACCGCGAAGCAGTTGTGTTTGCATGGCTGTGTTCCGGTTTGAAGGGTAGAATATGGCGTGAATTTACTGGGTACAGAGGAATAACACCCGAGTCCTCAGGAATGGCAACGCATGGGGGGTATCATTGGCGAAACAGTATACTCTGTTATGTCCATGGTACTGCTCATGTCTATAGGCGACGGTTACCACTTTACATCAGGTGGGCCGTCAGCTTGTTTGCCGTTCTAAGTTGTATAAAAAAAAAGGCAAATGCACAGTGAAAAAAGATAAAAAAAAAAGATACATTTTGCATGGGATCTTTAATTATGCCCCAAATAGGATAAAGTCCTATCTCTTTAGTTGAAGCAAATAATGCAGTTACAAAATTTCATTAAAATCTATTTAGCCGTTTCGGAGATTAGCGTGAACGGACATCGTGACACGGGATTTTTGTGCGTTAAAAAAGTATATTGTTGAAGCAATTTCTTTTGTTTATAGCACACCAAGATAAAGATGGCGACTTGCCTTATATGTATAAAGACATCCTTTTGGAGTTAAAAATATATTTAAGCCATACAGGAAATATGTGGGGGGGGGGGTATCATGGGCGAAACAGTACACTCTGTTATGTCCACTATGGACATAATTTACATAAATTATGGTGTGATTATACCACAGGGAGACTTTGTACAAAAGTCGATTGCTTAGGTACCTCTGTCCCATTCGTGTTTCTACCGTGAAGCAGTTGTGTTTGTATGGCTGTGTTTCGGTTTGAAGGGTGGGATATGGCGTGAATTTACTGGGTACAGAGGAATAACACTTGAGTCCTCAGGAATAGCAACGCATGGGGGGTATCATGGGCGAAACAGTATGTGTGTGTACTGTTATGTCCATAGTACTGCTCATGTCTATAGGCGACGGTTACCACTTTCCAACAGGTGGGTCGTCAGCTTGTTCACCATTCTAAGTTGTATAAAAAAACCGACCCAAATAATGGAAAAACCAATTATGATTTTATATACAGAAGTACTGAAGCGATTTTGATGAAACTTCTACAAGACTAAGCTGTAAGTATATCGTTTCAGATAAAAAAAGAATTTTCCAAATCGGTCCACAACTGACGGAGTTATGAGGTGACAAACATGAAGAAAAAAAACTAAATGGAGAACCTCCTTGTTTTTGAAGTCGGTTAAGTATATAGTAATATCAGCTGTATTGGTATATTTTTTAATAATTCTAAGGCACTATTTACATTGTCGGAGCATTTTAACACGCGTGGGAAACGTGATGTAATAACATGGATAAGACTACAGCCATTTTTTTTTATTATTTTAGCCCTTAACTGTCCACTGTTGGATATAAGCCTCCCCCATAAGGGGAGTTTTGCCGGTAGTTGCCACGCTTGGCAGGCGGGTTGGCAACCGCAGTTAGGCTTTTACAGATGTTCTAAGAGGGACGCTGTTGCCCATCCCTCCACCATAAGCCCCCTTAGTCGTCTCTTACGACACCCACGGGAAAGGAAGGGGTGGCCTATTCTATGCCGGGACCGATATGGCGTCGCCGAAATGATAGTCATTATTGGAAATTGTTAATTAAATATTTTTTCATTCTATTTATTTATTTTATCCATTGAAGGAGCAAAATTTCAATTTTTTAATTTATGTAAAATTAAATAAAAGCTCTTTGGAATTGTTATTTTTTTTATTATATTGCGGATAGTTTTTCGCCCGCTATTTTATACATGTACATATATTTCAGAAGGAGATCCTTGTCGAGATTTAATGGCTTGACCCTTGGAGAGGAGAAAATTGATCACTTCTAAATGGCGTGATGAAACGTAAACAGTTTTTTAAGTTAGCTACCCAAAACATAACTGTGAATAGAACTTTTGAAATAAAATACACAAAACACTTTTTGTACTTGGTTCAAGAGCAAATATAAACAATAATAACTGTGTTTCGGTTTGAAGGGTGCGATATGGCAGTGAATTTACAGGGTACAGAGGAATAACACCTGGATCCTCAGGAATGGCAACGCATGGGGGGTATCATGGACGAAACAGTATACTCTGTTATATCTATGGCACTGCTCACGTCTATAGGCGACGGTTACCACTTTCCATCAGGTGGGCCGTCAGCTTGTTTGCCATTCTAAGTTGTGTAAAAAGTAAAAATAAAAAAAAAAAACAGACAAACAAAATTAAAAATGTTGTACTTCTCTCAAATTTCTCTCATGTTCAGATATTGACCAGTTCCAATTTTATTAACATAATTATTATATAAATATTAGACATTTGTGTGTCAATGTCCGTGTGGGCCCCAGCATAGAATAGGCCACCGCTTCCTTTCCCGTGGGTGTCGTAAGAGGCGACTAAGGGAGAGCGAGGGATGGGCAGCAGCGTCCCTATTAGAACATCTCTATAGCCTAACTGCGGTTGCCAATTCGCCTGCCAAGCGTGGCAACTACTGGCAAAATCCCCCAAGGCTTATGTCCATCAGTGGAGAGTTAAAGACTGATTTTATGATTTTTTTTTTATTTTATTGATTCATGTTATACATATGTTATGTATATATTAATATACTAATGTATTAATAAACAAAAAAGCCTGTCTATGTAATAATAAATAAACAAATAAATGGCGTGTCCACATTATGTCAGACGAACATATAAAACGGGCCGCCGCATTCGGCGCGGTTTCAGTTGCATTCTGTATATCGCTGTGAGTGTGTCTTGTGCGCGTTATCTCCTAAACATTGTACCGGTATGTGTTAATTAATTAGATATTAATTAATTAAGTGATAGTTATGTGAACGGCGCGGCTTAGTGGTTTACTACTTCGCATTAAAGCCCCAAGGATCGTGAGTTCGAATCCGATTGCAACTTAAAATTTAATTTTCAACTGACCTTCCCGTGATGGATAACACCGTTAACGTAGTAATTTTTTTTTAATGGGTGATAATGGAATGGTAACCCTACCCGAAAAAATATATACAAAGATATATGCGTTCCACAATAGACTGCTGTGTGGCCGTTTTGAAGAGGTCTTTTATAAATCCCAATAATGTATTAAAAATATGACCAGGTTATTTTTTTCTTAATGTTTTTTTTTTTATACAACTTAGAATGGCAAACAAGCTGACGGCCCACCTGATGGAAAGTGGTAACCGTCGCTTATAGACATGAGCAGTACCGTGGACATAACAGAGTATACTATTTCGCCTATGATACTCCCCATGCGTTGCCATTCCTGAGGATCCAGGTGTTATTCCTCTGTGCCCTGTAAATTCATACTTATATTCATATGCCATATGGCACCCTTCAAACCGAAACACAGCCATGCAAACACAACTGCTTCATGGTTGAAACACGAATGGGATAGAGGTACCCAAGCAATCGACTTTTGTACAAAGTCTCCGTCTGGTAAATGTTTGTGTATTTTTGTTTTTTTTTTTATATGTATATCTGTAATCTAAATATCTTATTGATTTTGTTGTATCAGCCATTACTGTCCACTGCTAAACATAATCCCCTCCCCCCTCCATAAGGTGAAGTTTTGCCAGTGGTTGCCACGCTTGGCAGACGGGTTAGCAACCGCAGTTAGGCCTTGGTTATGTTTTAACAGGGACACTGTTGCCCATCTCTCGCCGTCCCTTAGTTGCCTCTTACGACACCCACATGAAAGGAAAGAGTGGTCCATTCTATGCCGGGACCACACGGCCAATATTGATAATTAAATAATTCTTTCTTTTCATTTAACAGTTCCCTCTTGTCGGTGCAACTAATTCATGCATCCTCTTCCAGCCAGCTCTATCCCAGGCCATATCCTTGACCTATACGATACGACACCTAGTGTTTCCTTTATCTGCCCCATGTAGTTAATCCTCGGTCTTCCTCTTCCTCTTTTGCCCTCTATTTTTCCTTCTATTATGCTTTATTAATTGCAAAAAAGAATAGTATAAATCTATTTGGAATTGGCAACGTAATCCTGTGATATAAACGCAAAAGGATCCAGACGAATTAGGAATCTCCTCCATCGAAGTCGACTAATAATTAAATCGATTATAACAAAACCAGTTGTTTTGATTTAAAACTAAAACTAGAGAACCGATTTGAATAAAATTTCTGTGGGACCAATTCGTGAATTTTTGTTTTAACGGATGATAATGGAATGGTAACCCCGCCTGCGCTATCGGTATACGCCGGCGGGGCACCAGTGAGATGATAGGTGATGGTGATAAAGCAGGTCAGTTAGCCCATCGTGACGAATTCAACGATAAATTAGTCACGATAGTGTCCAGAGGGAACTGGCGTGGAGGTCGACCTGATAGCGTATATTGATGGCAATGGGGACTAATCTCCCCATTACTGACAATCCCTTCTCCCCACCAATCTGTGAATGAATCAGTACATAAAGCATTCTATGTACTAACATATATAATTTACATATTTTAATGTGGCAAAAGTATGTGGCCCGGTATAGAATAGGCCACCGCTTCCTTTCCCGTGGGTGTCGTAAGAGACGACTAAGAGAGGGCAAGAGATGGGCAGCAGCGTCCCTCTTAAAACATCTCTAAAAACTTAACTGCGGTTACCAACCGGCCTGCCAAGCGTGGCAACTACTGGCAAAACTCCCCTTATTGGGAAGCCTTATGTTCAGCGATGGACAGCTAACGGCTGAAAAAAAGTGTGTAATAAATAAATAAATAAAAGTGTCCTATGTACTATGTTTTTTATACCGCTGAGGTGGTAAACAAGCATACGGCCCACCTGATGGTAAGCGATTACCGTAGCCTATGAACACCTGCAATACCAGAGGTATTACGCGCGCGTTGCCGACCCTGAAGAAAACTAAGTTAGAATAGAACCTATCCGTGTGTTAAGTTTCATTCAATTCCGTTCACTAGTTTTTACGTGAAAGAGTAACAAATATCCATCCATTCATCGTTACAGATTTTCGCATTTATAAAAAAAAAAAAAAAAAAACTACAGATTAACGTAAAAGCAAAAACAGACGAAGTTATGAGGTAATAAATGTAAATAAATACAACCGATTCGAGAACTTCCTTCTTGAAGTCGATTGAAAAAGACGTGAAACTCAACATGCGATATTAGAAAAAAAAAACACTAAAAAAGTATCTACGAATTGTCATTAAAAAAAAAAAATAAGAAAAAATAAATAAAAAGAAACAGCAGCCTACAAATAGTAACATAATCAGAAGGAAGGGATTATTAGTAACGCGAGCTACCAGTCCCATTGCTAGCAATTTACCCTGTCAGGTCGACACTCCACGCGGTCCCCCTAAAAACCATCGTGCTGAATTCCTGGTGTATTCATCACGGTGGGATAACTGGCCTGCCTTTTCATCCCCACCTATCCCTCACTGGTGCCCTACCAGCGTATACCGTTATCTTAATTACTTTATATGTTTGGTTTGGTCATTTGGAGAGGATGGATGAAAGAAGAATTACGAAAGAGATTTATCAAGCAAGAATGAATGGAGATGTCGCTAGGGTTCGCCCTAGACGGACGTATGCCGACCAAATAGGCGACGTGCTGAAGAAGGGCCGAATTAAAAGTGCCCGTAACCGGCGTGCGTGTATGAAAACATTGATGAATGTGGAAGAAGCGAAAGAGGTCTGTTTGAATCGAAGCATTTGGCGTTCCATTGTTTCTGTCTACCCTAATGGGAGACAGGCGTGACAGATATGTATGTATGTATTTATATCCAGAATTCACGAAAAAAAAACCACATTCCGTGCTACATTCAAATCCATCTACAAAACAAACTAAAATAATAAAGTCACGCCAAAAAAATCACAATTTAAATCATGAATTGGGAACATTTATCAAAATTTCGATTATTCCACGCCGTGTTAGATGTATCTATGATCTATAGCCTATAATCAATACACGATAAAATGCTTCAGTAGTTAATATTTCAATTGGATAGGAAGTAAAATAGGAAATAGGAAAGAGTCGAGAATCACACACGCGATATAAACTTGAACGCGCGCTGGCGTGTTTGAAGAAAGAAGCCAACAGTTTGATTCGATTATATTTTTTACATTATTACATGTATCATATCTTTATATATATTAAGAAATAATAGAATTTCCATCGTGCCTCCTATCAAACTGTTTATAATTACTCCTCTCCATCCAAAGGTCGAGGAAGAGATCGCTCTTAGCGATAAGCTCGCTCATTGTTTTCTCATTGTGATTATTTCTTGTAATTGTTTATATTTATAATAAGTTTACTATTGTAATCTTTTGGAGGAAACAATAAAGAGTATCTATCTATGTTACTATTTATTTTTGAATGGATGATAATGGAATGGTAAAAATACGCTGGCGGGGCACCAGTGAGGGATGATAGGTTATAATGAAAAGGCAGGTCAGTCCATAGTGATGGATACACCTGGAATTCAGGGGGGAAACACTTGGAGGTCAACATAACAGGGTATATTGCTGCCAATGGAACTGGCAGTTCGCATTACTAACAATTCCTTTCCCCCGATACCTGAGTACATTCGAATATAACCCAAGGTCAATCAGATTCGAACTTATGACCAATTTGCTTTAATTAAAATTTTTATATTTCTCACAATCGAATGCTTTTATGACTTTGTCATCGGTGAAAAGGAAAGTTGCATCCAAAAGGTCATAGACATAATTTGACCTCTATGGACAATTAAATATATAGACGGTGATCGAATTAAATTATAGTATCGAATGTTCCTTGTTATCGCCTTAGAAAAGTCAGTACAGTTCTCATGGGAAACTGTATACGTTTTTATAATAAACTTCCAGATGACGTTTTACATTTAAATTAATTCTTTAATATATATATATATATATATATATATATATATATATATATATATATATATATATATATATATATATATATATATATATATATATATATACTGTACTCTCTGTACCAAAAGCATATTATAAAATAAATGACAAAAAATGCATCATGGATTTGACAATAGTATTAATGTAAATTGTATTGCAAATGTAATTATTGTATTTTTTTTTAATTGATATTATTTTATAATATCAATTAAAAAAAAATAATTAGTAATTGTTATAATTATACAGTGACGTATCATAAGAATCTGTAATAGATGTATACGAATAAAGATGATTGATTGGTTGGTTGACTGATTGATTGATCGATTGGTTGACTGTTTGATTGGTTGGTTGACTGATTGATTTATTGGTTGGTTGACTGATTGATTGATTAATTGGTTGACTGACTGTTTGATTGATTGGTTGGTTGACTGATTGATTGATCGATTGGTTGACTGATTGATTTATTGATTGGTTGGTTGACTGATTGATTGATTGAATATATACATATTTATTTCACGTAATTATCATCATCATCATCATATCAGCCGTTAACTGTCCACTGCTGGTCCACATAACTAATAATAATATTATTATAATTTATATGTTTGTGTACAATAAAGAATAAATTTATTAATCGTTAGTAAATAATAATGTAAATACGACTTCGACCTCAGAACAATTATTATAATACTGCGTTATTTCGCAAAAGCGATTCCCATAGCACGAACGCTCGTAATAAAACTAAATTGTCTTAACTTTTGTGATGTGGCGAAATAATAATGTGTGATGAGGCCTTTCAACATTTTACCTATTGTTTGTGTGTATGTAATAATTAATTGACTAAACGTACGGATTTCCTCTCTAGAAAGTTCTAGTTTGACTCAAAAGGAGTGTCTTTTT